TTGTGGCGGCCATTGCCGGCCTCATCATTTGGCTAGGCCACAATGCAAACTGGAAGCAAAGATCACATTTAAGAAGATGGCACTTTTTTTGTAGGAGCTTGGAAAACAGTTGATCAACAGACAAATAAAATGAAGAATGATGGATACACATAATCTGTCTAAGTCCATCAAGTATGACTGCCCTAAATTACAAATTACCATGTTACACCCCAGTAGAACCTTCTGCAAGCATGAGTGGATGTTGTGCTTCTTGTCCAAGGACACACGACCACAATGCAAAGATTGCAAGCGATTTGCTTGTGTGCACCACAGTACATCACTGCTGTTTTGTGAGGAATGCAATATTTAGTTAAAACAGTTAGGAAATGTTTTTGGAAGTAACTGTTAGTTTAAAAACAGTGTGAACTGCAGACTTAGCAAATTGTTCATTCACATTTTGAAACTAAAAACACAACCACACTTTAAATTTTGTTCATAGTTCTAGTTAAATATTTTGGTTTCAAATCATCATAAATACTCTTTCAAACAATCTGTATGTTTAATAAATAGTTTTTGGTACATTTATACTGGTTCCATTTTGTTTATGTGGTTGGGATAACAAGTTACACCACGAGACCAACAATGTTGAATTGTGGGGTAACAAGTTCTCATGAAAACAACAATGATTATGGTTTCATGAAAACGGATGAGGGTTAAATACTTCCAATAGCAGGAAATCCAGTTTCTCTGGGTAAGTAATTTTGTTTAAAAGGGAATCCAAACATTTGTTCTCTCATGAAGAAAGTTGAAAGAACAAGAACAGTATGACTGTTAATCTACCGAGTGCCCACAGATTCAGGCCTTCTGGTAGGTAAATGCAGGGGCAGAGCAGGTGACATCGACACCCCACAACCCAGAGCCACTCTGTAGAAATAGCTATGCAACCCCCAAAGTGAATGCCCTAACACATGCCTCAATTTTCTCATGCCCCTTGCAGAGTGTATTGGAGTTGAGATCCACAGCCCTGGGGATTCTATTGTGCTATTCTTGCCCTGGCACCAGCTCTGCTCTAGGGCTGGGACAGAAGTTACACAAACTGGTTTAAGTGATCAGAAACTGATTTAAACCTGTAACAATAGAAGTTCAGTGCATATAAACCAGTTTCACAATGGATAAAACTGGTTTAAGAAAAACCTGGTTAAATATAGTATCAGATTTAACTAATTTGAGTCAAACCCATTTATGAAAATTCTGTCCCAGACTCCTTCCTGGTTCACGTTAAATCACAGTCCCCCAGCATGCTTTCCAACCCTAAGCTCAGCTGTCTGCTTCAGCTGGGGGGGGCAGCAGGAACTGTCATCCCCATCCCACCCACCAAGGCAGACCCTGGCTGGGGTCTGGCATGGGGGTTAACCCCCCCACTCCCAAGTACAGAGATGACCTGCCCTACTAAAAATGTACTGCTGGCTGCAACTGTGGACTACAGATCCCAGAGGCATCTGGAAGCAGGAAAAGGAAGTGACAAGCAACCCTGGAGAGTCCTGCTGCTGTGATTCCAGACTGCAAATCCTGGAGACCTCAGGGGCAGCAGGAAGAGAAAGCAAACACACAGCCCATGCTGGCAACATGCCAGAGAGCTATGCTGTAGTACCCCCTCAGCTTTTGGCCTGAGCCACTGCAGATATGTGGCTGTGTTTCCTGAATCAAAGGTGAATGTCTGTCCAATTGTTTCTGTTTAATCTGTGCAGTTTAAACTAACCTGCAAAAACTGAATTGATTCAGCCTCAGCCTTTGATTGTCTGTACTTAGCCTATGACTCCAGTGTGAAGAATCTCTTCCTGTCCCTCATTTCTGGCTGCCATATGCCCCAAGGCAGGACTGAGTGCAAGTGAAGTAGGAAGGTCTTTCTGCTCACATTCTACTGCACAGGGCACACCACCCTGAGAAAACACCCACTTTGAGTCATGTTCTTATTAAAAGGCTGTTACCCTTGGTAATAGTGGCAACATGTCACTACCTGGTAACTCTAAAAACCAAACACCTTGAGATCCAGCACAGGACCAAGTGTCCTGCAGTGCTTCAGGTCCAGCAGCTACAGCTCTCTCCCACAGATGGTTCTCATAAAGAGTTGAACATGAGCCAGGCAAAGCCTGTAGGTCACTCACAGTCCATCAACAGCCACCCAAAGCAGTCATCGAGAGTACTCAGAGTCACTTCTCCCACCTTCCTAGTAATCATCTTGTGTTGGCTGCCTGTGAGCATGCCATCTAAACATGCAAAAGCATGGAAGCCAGCATTACACAGCCTATACGAACTGTTTGCAAGTGCTGCTGAATTGGGATTAGGCATCAGATACACTAAATCAACTCACACAGAGCCTAATTGCTGATGAAACAAGCCCAACCCATTCTTTGGGGGGGGGGGGGGGGGGGGGGGTGGGCTGGGCGTT